GTGATCACTAATTTATTTTAATCTTATTTATTTCCCTCAAGGTTTTATTGTACCTATTTATTATAGCTATTGCATCTTCTGTCCCATCTTATCTTTTCTTTAGAGAAGGCAGCAGTGCTGCAGGCAGCCAGGAGCCCATGTCACTGGATGTCTTTCAGAGAATATCTGACCAAACGCTTTCTCAGGAACTACCTTGGCTGAAGCAGCCCTGGGACTGGTGCTGGGAAGCACGAACCGTTCTCGAGAGGGGCCTCCCTGCACTGTGATGCCCTCGGCCAGTGCCAGACCCCAGCTGACCTGCATCCCCACCCCCAAATGTCCCACCACTGGGACTGATCCTGTCCTTCAGATCAACTTCTCAGCTGGACTTTGGACCTGTTTTGTCACCGCAAGCTGGCCTGATGATCTGGACTCTCAGTTGAACCCTACTCCTGCCCTTGGGACTGCTCTGCTCCCACGTTGTGCTCCCACATTGTGGGACACTGTGTGACAAGCCCTGGCTGACCAGCCCCTGCCCTGACAGCCTTGTTATCATCTCCCTTGTCTCCTGGCTCCCTGCCACTTAGGAGCAGCTGACTCCTCTCTGTGCTCTGACAGATGAAGCTCTCCCAGCAAAACATGTTGTCTGTGCCCCACCACCCAAGTCCCACTCTTTCTCTGCAAGTCTGGCCTTTCCTTCTGGAAAGCCCCACCACAACCCATCCCTCCCCAGGATCTGTCTCTAAGCCACCCAGAGCCCCAGCCAGCTCAGCCTGCTGTGATGGCACCATCTCACCAGGCTAGGGTGGGTGCTGCAAGCTGAGCTGCGTCCTGGACAGTCCCTAGCTGTACCTGTGGTGACAAATAAGTCATTGAGCTTGATGGAGAAGGCTGATTTGCATCCTGGATACTGCATATTGTATGTTGTTTTAAGCTCTGGAGGACAGGCTGGGAGAGATCACAACGGAAAAGGCTAAAAATACAACAATTGTGAGTTCCTGTCCCTGTGCTGGGGTGGAAGGCATGGCCCCAGCACTGCCCCGAGACATTGGGATCAGTGCTCATGGATCCCAACAGAGTAGCACTGCCTCTTGCAACCACTCTGCAGCCAATGCACCCAACAGCAACGTGAGAGAAGTAGGTTGAAATGGGACTGGGCAGGGTGTTTTGAAGCAGATGTGGTGGTCAGTAAGTGACCAGAGGTTTTGGGTGCGAGGGGCTCTGCTGAAGCTGGGGAGCATGGTTGGGAAGCACCTCTGGGGAGCAGGGCCTGGGCTCAGCATGGGTGTGCTGTGTCAGCTGGCAGGTGAGGTGGGACTTTGTACAGCACTGTCAGGAAGGCAGCCAGCAGATTCCTCAGCGATGGGGTAGCTCTGAATGACCTCAGAGCACAAGTGGTCTGCGCAGCTGGTGGACGCCTCTGAGCACCCTGCCTGTGCTGAGAAGAGCTCAGGGCTCCAGCTCTCTGTCCAGGAGACAGCCCCCACCCCATAGCTCCCTGCGGATTGTCTTGCTTGCCTGCCTGCTGAGGCTGGAGGGGAGGAAAGTGTTGGCAGCTCACAGATTAATTAATAGAAGAAGTGGGAAGGCAATGGGGAAAATCAAAGACCTATTCCCACCCCAGCATCAGGCACAAAGCTGGTTCTGAAAAGCACTGTCAGTTTCAATATATATAGACAACCTGAGTATGGCCATAGACTACAAAATTAAAAGACCAGTGCCACTTTAGGTCCTGGTAAAGGAGCTTGATGTTCATATTTCAGCAGTTTTCTCTCACATGTATCCCTGCTGATAAGCATCCATACCAACAAAGGGTGCTCTCTTGGGTTCAAATGGGCATCAAATCTTCCATCACCCTAGACACTGTTGGTGCCTCTGATAGTACAGAATGGAAGCTAAAAAGCTATGTGGGGTTGGGTAACACTGAAACAGGAGTACAGACCTCCTCAGCCAACTTACCCCCTGTGGAAATGACCAGAGTCATTAGCTAGGCATGTTGTGAAAAAGGGTTCACACTAAGGCCAAGACTTAAGAAACTTAGTGTCCTGGTAACTGTGTATTGGAGCAGCCAGTCTCCTCAGTGGCTTTTTGGGTACTTGCTGGAGCCTGGTAGATTTCTCTTTGAAGGGGAAGTGTTCCAGTTGCAACCACACATCTGGCATTATGTGAGTTTTTATCGCTCACTAATATGAATTCAAGACAGATCCTTTAGAGTTGTGTATGGTCTGTACTTGAAGAACTGCTGCTGTTATGATGGGAGTGAAATGGACTGTTTTATGTATGCCAAGAAAGAGGGATAAGGGAAGAGAAGGAAGGACTAAAGAGGTGTGGGAGTGTCCTTCTTGACTAGGTCCATTAACTGCAGCTTCTTTTGTCCAGGTGTTCCTCATGTAGTTGTCACTGCTATGACTTTGTGACACTAGCTGCCCCATCTGGCTCTTGGACACGTTCAAGTTCCATTATTTTTCTGTGTGCTGCCTATTCTGAGCCAGGCATGCAAGGGACAGGCTATTTATCATGCTAAACCCAACAATAATTCAGAGGAGGAAAAGGATGCATTTTCATAAAGTATATGTTGTTAGATATCATAGGCCATCCCCAACGCTTGTGTGTGTCACAGAGCACAAACATGCATCTGAAAGGAGTCTTTGCAGTGGACAATATTAGGCAGTCTGGACAGAACTGCAATTAGTACCCACTTGTAATTCCTCTCCTCTTCCATTTTTCCTCTTCTGTGTTCACCTCCAATGGTTGCCTACTGAGTTTGCCTGAAGCATGGGTAGAGATCAACCACCGACATTGACTTATTGTGAGATTCTTTGTGGGTTAGCTTACGACACTGAAAGCAAATTGTTCTGCATAGCTGGAGCCAGCATAACCTCAAGTCCACAGCCTGGGATCAACTTTCCGAAAGGCAGATGATTTAGTTACACCATATTTCCAGCTCTGCCAATGTTGACTTTGACCAATGTCGACTTTGACCAATATTTTGGTTGCCAGCAGGACAAAATGTGTACAGCATGGGTGAGATAGGTGTAGGTGGTCAGAGGTCCTGAAATGCACAAATGCCAACTTTAGTAGGACAGCAGGTCCTAGGACCTCCAGCAGCTGTTCTGTGCCCTATCCTCAAGGAACAGAGAGCAGGGAGTCTCACACATGTGATATGCAGTATGAGACATTTTCGTTTTGTGGTGGGAATGCATGACAAGCCCTGCAGATGTAGTGTCAGATGAACTGCAGGTAGGGGGCAAGCCCTCAGCGAAATTGCTACTTGTTAGTGCAATGCAGGTAAGGCTGTGAAAGAGGTCTCTTCTCTGAGCCAAACCAC